GATGATGGAAAAACCAGAGAGAGGGAAAGACAGATGGTAACTAATGGACTTCTGGCCATCTTCTCAAGCTTCCAGGTGAAGTGTAGGCGGCACAGCTCCGGCAGTTTTCTCTTACCCCGCGGTACCACAGAATGTGCTGCAGAAGACAAAGGGCCTGGACACAGATGCTCCCCACAGCACCCCTAACACATGGCCAAGTCCTGAGGCAGGTTGTGAGTCACCTTGCAGCGGCATCTATTATCTGCACACTGCCCCAACCGTGGTGGATTCCCAAACAAGCTGTGACTGGGAAGGCTTCCTGGAGACGTGAATCCACAGAGTTTGGGACAGGCCGATGGGACAACAGAAATGAAAATGTCTTCTTTGGCACTACCGTGGTGATAGCAAAGCAAAATCTACAGGGACTAAACTCAAGCCGGGCACTGCAGCCCGGAGCAGCACTTTTTCTGAGTAAAACTGCTCTTCGTTACAACCACTAAGTTTTTCTCAAAGCTACTGTGAAGAGCTGTTCTCCAAAGCTCCGGGGGCTTCGTGCACTTTGTCTCAACTTCTGAACAATGGGAGTCAATGTCAGCATTGGAACATTGCCACCAGCAGAGCCTTACAGTCCAGTCTGTCAGAACTGGTTTATTGCTGTTTAACGCCCTGAAGATGGTAAAGACAGTCTTTGCTGCCCTCTGCAACCCGTGGGTGAATCCAGTATCAAGATCAATAGGTCAAATGCTAGTAACTGATTAATCTAGAATTTAGAAATGCTAGCAGGAGCAGGAACTCTCAAATCTAGAACTTAGCAAAGTTACCATGCACTTAGCTTTGTGCTTGTTTATTAGATACCATGACCTATAGTATCTATGGTGGCATCAAAAGCCAGGCCTTGCACCCTACTAGAGAAGCTTCTCGGACAGAGTTCTCTGAACCAAGGGCTTCCGTGGAGTCAATATGGCTGCCCAGGCTTTAGAAACAGTATTACCAAGAAACAGTATAGTTTTCTTTCTTCAAATAGTGTTCCAACCCTGGGGGTGTGGCTCCAATGCACATTACATGTCAAGAAGTGACAGGATGTGACTTTGGATGTCACACTTCAAACGAGGAGGCCAATGGCAAGTGAAGGGGCCATCTGTAGGCCTTCAGACAAGAGCCCAGCTCAGGACCCAGACAATGACTGTGTCACCAGGTAGCTGTTTTTTCATGGATTTTTTCAGCTGTAGTCACTGATAAACTACCTGGCCTCTTTCTGTAACCACATGAGAGACTCTAAGGAGAAATGACCTAAGGCCAGTCAACTCATGAGAACCAGGAGAGGCAATGATGATTTACCAGTGATTTAAAGGATTGCCACAAGCTGGCCTGTGGCTAAAATCTAGTCAAAGACATGTACTTTATTTCCAGCCTGTGGTCTAAGTATATCTTGATACAGTTTTAAGTAGTTGTGAAACAAAACAAAGAGAAATGTGCAACAAAGAAACAAAGACCATGTTGTTCCCCCTAAGTCTAAAATCCTTGCTCTCTCAACCTTACCAGAACAAGTCTGCCCAGCACTGACTTACACCACTCAGGGTCCAGATAGGTTCCTGGGCACAAACAGCTGTGTGCAGCACGAGAAGCCTCTGGAACATGAGAGAGGCACCAGGGAAAATGAAAGACTTTGCAGCACCACGGGCGTCTCTGAAAAGCTCCATCAGCTGTTATCTGCAAGTCAGTGTTTATCAGTAAGGCTCGAGGGCTGAGTGAGCCTCAGTGGTAGAGCTAGCCCATCCTACTTTGTTTGAGGAAGGCTATGATATGGGAACCGGAAAGAGAGTGCAGAAGCCAACAGCTGATTTTCACAAACAAAAATGACAGTAATACATTTACCGAACACAAGACATTTGTCTTTCTGGGTCGGGATTACCTCATTCAGTATAAACTTTTTTCCATTTTCATCCATTTCCCTGAAATTTTCAAAATCCCCATGTTCTTTATAGTTACATAAAATTCAATTATGTATGTGCCCTACAATTTTACTATCCATTCATTAGCTAGCTGATGGACATCTGGGATGGTTCCATTGCTTGGCTGTTGTGAACAGAGCTGTAATGAACAATGGCACACTGAGTGTTTCTGTAGTAGGATAGAATCCTTAGGGTGCATGCCCAGACTGTAAGACTTGGCCTTATAGTAGAGCCAATTCTATTTCTTTTGTTTTATTTTATTTTAGGCACTTCCATAGAGGCTGCACTAAATCGTGCCTCCACCAACAGTGTAAAAGGGTCCCCTTTCCCCACATCTATCACTCGTTGTCATTTGCATTCTTGTGAATGGCCATTTTAATGAGATAAAATGAAATCTTAAAGTGGTTTAAATCTGAATTTTCCTAGTGGTGAAGGGTACGGAGCAGTTTCAAGTATTTCTAAGCCATTTGCAGTTCTTTTGAAAGCCATTTGTAGTTACACAGCCCAGTTTGTAATTGTGTTGTCTTATTTGAGTTTCGTATGCTTGTCTTGGAATAGCTCAGGAGTCCAAGACACTAGAAAGGGAACAGTGAGGGGGAGGTTGTCTTAAATAGGAGATACGGGGTGGAGTGGGTTAGATGAGGGCACAGAAGGGGAATACTGGGAGTAGAGAGCTTCGAGCAGGAAGAGGGATGAGAGGTGGGGTGATGCAGGCATGGCAAGTATGAGAGTGAAGAAGGTATGAGAAAAACACTTGCGATTGACTTTTTGGTAACCTGGTTAGAAAACTTTATAAAAATTCAGAAGACAGATGCTTTGCAAAGACTAGACAACGCAGGTCTAGAATCAATGGATCATTAAACAAAAGCTCCAGTAGGAGTCATTGGTCAGGGAGGTTCCAAATTCCCCCAAACACTCCAGATTCCAGTCATTGCTCCTGGTCACTCTTGAGAACTAGTTGGTAAGACCCTACTTCTATAGACAGTACACACCTTAGCTGCAAGATGTCAAGGAATCAAGCTGAAATTGGGCTAGAAGATTCTTCCATACTGAATGGATCTCATGGTACCAGATGCTACTATGAAGGTTGATGTGGGGATAAAGACATTGGTTGCCTAGTCCAACTCTATGAACTATAATTCCAACCTTCTAGGTAAGATGGACCCAGGGGTGTAATGGTCTATTACATGGATAACCAACTGCTCTCTGATTGAATTTGGGGCTTGCTCTACAAGATGGAATCCATACCCATGGATGAAGAGGTCTTAGATCCTAGGCAGAGGGTATGGGAAACTTAACATGGCTGCATAGCTGAGCTGACACAACATCAAACCATCTCCTAAGTATATACATATGTTTATACCGAGAGACAAAAGCTGTTCTCAGCCTTAAACAGAGAATCTGCTCCTTGAAGGGAAGAGAAATAAAGGCAAAGGCCTATAACTCTACAAAACAATAAAAGACAGTTGAGGGCTCAAGCCTAGGCATGACATATACACTACCCCTTAAGTCTCAGGGACCACTATGGAAGAGAGGGTGAAGAGAAAGTAAGAGCTGGATGTGGAAAGAGGGGCTGAAAATACCATCCTCACAGTGGCTATGCCTACTGGCATTGGGTCCACAGAGGTCAAGTCTTCCTCATAGTCAGTTATGGAGGGGGAAAGGGCCCCTGGGGCCCAACCACACACTGCAGATTAATTGGCAACTGGAAGATTCTGTGAAGGGACATATGGCATCAATTGTGTACCCAACAGTGAGCCCACCAAGTTCAGGGAATTGGTTGTACACTCAGGTCCATACAGACAGCCCTGATGAAACTCTGGGAGACCCCAGCTAAAAGAAACAAAGAGGTGAAAGAAGTTGATCTGAAGGAGCAGCAGAGAGGTGGGAAGGTATGGAAGGGGAGGATGGATGGAGCTCACTGTGCACTGAAACGCATAGTGCACGAGCATAAAGTGAAAGAGCAGAATTTACTAACAACAAAAACAAAAAGTTTGCCAAACAAGCAGTGTAAGAGGCATTTATCTTGGTTTTAATTCTGAATTAAACTCTCAATTTTGAAATTCTCATTAATAATTTTAATAAAATAGGCATCGATTACTAAGTCTTTACTAGGTAGCAGGCAGTTTTCTAAAACTCTCGTGTGTAGTATCTCAGGTAAGCCTCTGGTTAACTCGTACTTCTATTTTACAGATGAGAAAATGAAGGCACAGAGATGCTCTAACCTGCTCCAAACCACACAGGTAGCTAAGTGTGGCATAGGATTTGATTCCGACCTGATTCCCATCCTTGAAATCAGCCACTGCACTGGACCTCTGCTTTCCAAGAAATACTAATTCAAGACCCCTAGTCTACAGAATGTAGCTGGCTTCCTTGGCAAAGACGGCTCCAATGACCACTCTGGCCATACCTCCCTGGATGCCGGTCAGCGTTGCTGTCCATCTACCTAAGGAAGAGGCATGGAACTGGAGTCTCCAGTTGTTTCTGCATTCTCCTATTGAGAGGAGTGAACAGCTTCCAGGCTAGCTCTAAACTAAGGGTATTTCTAGGCTTTTTGTTCCAGGCCCTCTGAGGCTTCCCCATGTTTAGACTTGTTTCTGCCAGTCAACACGTGGGGAATTATGACTGTTGAGGATGGACTGCCATGTGAGATAGCACACCGGTGAGCACCTCAAGTCACCCCATGGCACTCAGAGGGCAGCTGCAACTGCTACAGCACAGAGCACCTCTTTCTCCTAGAGGCCCGGGGTCTGGCCATTGGTTTTCACTGAGTGACCAGAAAAGCTGCTGACCACAAAGAAAAACCCACATTCCTGAGGCAGGATGGAGAGTGATGGCTGGTGCTCACCCACTGAAGCTCCCTCCGTGACAGTTCCATGTTTTAGATAATTGTTTTAGCTATTTATAAAAACATAAGCTATAACATTTTGTTTTTATACTAAAGCTATAAAAATGGTCCTATCACATTGTCTATCCAGCTGAGGTTGGCAGAAATCACTGGAAAGAATGGAAAGAGGAGGGGACGGGGCTGTGACATCACAAGGTAGGACAGGGCACCTGTCTACTCACCAGAATGGGAAGATGATGAATCGACTGATGAAGAAGACAACGGAGAAGATGAGGAAGAGGGCATTGCAGGTCTGCTTCCATCCAGCATAGGAGAACATCTTAGCAGACTGAAAATGAAACTGTCGTCAGTTAAAATGCCCGTGGAATGAATTTTAAAAATCATTGAATGCAGACATGTTTGGAAGCAACCTGGGAAAGGTCTGGGTTGTGGATAGGGACATAGATTCAATGAGATTAGCCATAAAGATTAGCCTTAAGGGTAGAGGAAAACCCTGTGCCCCAGTGTTTGAAAATCTCTATAATAGAATGCCTTAAAAAGATATAGAAGGGCCACACCTTTCTAAACACTAGAAGTCAGCACAATGACTCCTAGCATGCATTTTCTATCTCCCTGTCTTTGAGAGGGGAGCTGGTCTGGAGAAAGCCTGCACAGGAATTAGCCAAGCGCAATGTGAGTTTGGCTATAATGCTGCAGCTAACAGAGCAATAAGGACGCTCTGTTATGCTCTCCCATGAAACCCAAGGATGATGATGAAGAAGAAGGTGAGGTACAGGTAGGAGTTCCTGGTGTACAGGCCACACATTTAGGGAGTATGGTAGTTTGGATGGGAGATGTCCCCCACAGGCGCATGAAAGCTTGATCATCAGTTAGGGGCATTATTTGGGGATGTTACAGAGCCTTTAGGAGATCTAGCCTTGCTGAAGGCTCTCTCTCTCTCTCTCTCTCTCTCTCTCTCTCTCTCTCTCTCTCGTGTTTTCGTGTGTTGAGATGTAATCTCAGTCTCTTGCACCTGCTACTGTGTCTTCTCAACCATATGGATATGTAACCATGTAGAACCACATACCATGAACTCCTTAAATGGCTCTTGGTCATGGTATTTTATCATGCCAACAGAGACATCACTAACACAAGGGATCATGACTTAGACTTGGAAGGTTCAGAAATTACATCCTCAACCAGTGTCCTAAAGAGTAGGGGTTGGGTAAGAGGCAAAGCCCAGAGTCTTGGAACGACTAGAATGGAGGGCTTAGCTATATTCAAGTTCAGAAGCCAGACCAAGATGGGAATTTGGATATGTGCACGGATATCAGAATCACTGTGTGCCAACTCTGGATGGCAAAATGGTACTGTTGGGCAGAAATACCTTCAACACCTTCTGGACTGTGTAATGAAGAACCAGATGGTAGCCCCATATCAATGCTAAGTATCAATCAGGATACATAAAAATGTTGGGTTCTGGGTCTGAATTTGGACATGGAGAATAACAGAGGACCAGCAAGAGGCCAAGAGAAGGCAACAAACAGAGCAGATATAAGAAAAAAACTGTAGGTGTTGAGGCTACCTATCTTGCAGCTTCCAACTCAGGGAGAGTCTACTCAAGCAAAAGTGGTGCCAGGTCTGGGTTCAGTTAGAGCTCGAGTGAGAAAGCAAACGTGACAACTACTCAGAAAAACCACTGGTCATACATCTGTGGGAGAACACCAGAAAGAGGTGCCTGTCACCAGCACACAGGGCTGTCTCTACCCCCAGCTATTGCTGGAAGGCACTAGCCTTGTGTCTGAGCCTTGTGTAGATCATGACTTGTGGATCGAGAATGATTCATGACTAGTAACAATGTGAGACCGCGCTGATATTTTAACCATGAAAGGACCTCTAAGTCTGACATGCCATTTTTTTTTCTGTGTTTTACCCAAGGACTTGGAAAATTTTCAAACAGTAATGAGCTAAACCTTATAATATACCATAAGGGACTGACATGGCTTCTCATGTTACAGCTGGGGCTAGGAAACAAAACAATAAGTAACTTGCCCACGTCTCTTAGGGAATTCTGCTATGTGTATGAGAAGTAGAGGGAAGGCTGGGAAAACTAAGCATGCAGACCCAGCTTTAACATCTCGCTTTCCCTTAAAAACACAATGGAAATGTTTTAATGCTGGACACACACCAACACTGAGCAAATGAGTGTTCAGAAGCAAGACATGCGTGCGTAATTCTTAACTCAGACCTAATATAGCCTTCCTTTTTACCCAAGGCCACTGGGATGCGATCAGAGAAAGGGGTGCTTGTGGCAGAGGTGGCTGTGTTCAGAAAGCAGCGTGACACAACCCGGACCAGTTCTGCTCCGCTGAGCTGCCTCGAGACATGGGACAGCCTACCCAGCACTCTGGCTAAAAATACTTCACAGACGCCAGTTGCTTTGACATGACTTCAACTGACTTCTGGTTACTTCTTAAATAGGGTTGGACCAACTACCTTCTAGTCCGCGGGCTAAAGCTAGTCAGACATTAAGAATGGTTTTCATATTTTAAAATGTGTGTAAAAACAAAGAAAAAAAGAAAGAATATATGGCATAAATCACACAAAGCCCACAAAACAAGATTTTCTCTCTGGTTCTTTATCAAAAGCTGGCAGAACTCCAATCTGGAAGGATGAAATTCTATTAAATTTAATTTCTTCCATATCAACCCATATTCAATTATTAGCACTCCAAGGAGCAACCCCGAGTGTAAAGTAGTTTAGCATTGCTTTCCTTGGACTCATTATAAATGAGCACACTCACGTGAGTCAGCCACTGTCCTGGGAAAGGCTGCTGTAGCTACAGCAATGGATCATTCGAGCACAGCCCCACACCAAGAGAAGCTGATGCAAACAGCCAGGTGGAGGAACAGCCCCGCCATGCCTTTGTTCCTCATGGTTTGTATGATGTAGAAATAGGAAGGATTTTTGTCTCAGTGTTCCCCACTTTAAAACACTCTAAGCCCTCTTTATCCCTTACAAGAGGAATGCTGTTTTCCAAACATCAGTTGGCATTCCCTAAAGCAAGAGGGACTGGAGGCATTCAACAGGCAGCCAGCCACTGGCTCAAGTAGCAGAGGGAGCTGTCCAATTCTGAGGATCCAGAAAGCAAAAATTTCCAAGTTTTGCCTTTATAAACCTTGACCTGGTTTCTCATGTGAGTATTTCCTATCACTCCCCGGGTGGGCAGCGGCATGCAGCTGCCAGGAGCGCAGCCCCACAGACCAGCCTCTCACACACACAGCACAGACTGCAAATCAGACACCAGGAGGCTTCATCCCGAAGGGTCTGGGAGCCTGTACCTTTTTAGATTTGGGGGTATTTTCAGGACAGAGAGCTCTGCCAAATCACTCACAGATAATTCTTTCTGTGAGCACTTAGTGAAAAGCAGGCCATGGCACTGCTATTATTTTCTAAATGGCAGCCATTTACCTCCAGCCAAATGTCAGACACATCGTGCACAAGCATCACGAGGGTCCCACTGCGGATGTAATTAGCACACCAGGAGAAGCTCATCAGACTAATGGCAGCCAGGTGGTGGATGACATGAGCAAGGAAATCCTACATAATGAGAGAAAATGGAAGCCATTAACAAAAGTGGTTATTTCCCAGTGACTGGAAGAGAGAATAATAATAGTACCAGTAACTTACATCTGCCTGTTTTGACATTTAGCATGATAGACATATGTGTATATGTGTATTGTGTATACATATGCACACATGTATGTATATATGTATGTGTGTATATATGTATGCATGTGTGTATGTATATATGTATGTATGTATATATGTATGCATGGACTGAACATTTGTCATTTGACTGTAACTTCTGACACCCTTTCCATGGCTCCATACACTATATTCTTAGATTCCGTGAGTTTTTTTTTTTCTTGAAGATATCTGTGGGCCACAATGTGCCCACTAGAAATGGCTACACCAGCCTTCAACTCAAAGAGCATTTAATCAAGGCAGCTCCGTTTAACCTAATATTTAGCAGATCTTAACTTCGTTTATTAAACAAACATTTCTGCATGCTAGAATTTGACACTGGGTTAGTATATGAAGACCTGAGGCACAACAGTCTTTTCGATTCGCTTTGCTGAGAAAATCTTGTGGCTGCATTGAGGGTCTCACATGACAACTAGCCTAGTGATGCAATAAGCTAGGCAGCCCTGAAATGTGTCACTTTGTGACATGAAGAATACCTGTGACTCAGTTTCCCTGCAAATACAGCAAAGCTTTGTGTGCTTAAAACAAGATTTTTCATATGGATGGCTAAAACATTAAGGGGTAGGCAGTCGTTGCAAGTTCTTTAAAAACATTAGAAAGGATTTTATAAAGTGGTTTGCCATCAAAAAGATGCGGTGTGGAGGTAAAGTCCTCACATAACAAGGTTTTCCTGTGTGAAGGGACGCTGCCCTCCCAGGCAGAGAAAACAGAAAGGAGAACTATCTTCTTATTGATCATGAATACAACTTCAAACATAAAGCTTTTTGCTATAGGCATTTATCAGGACATAAAAGCCTGAGGATAATTTGAATTGGTCTATGCACTATCAAAAGCAAGAATAGCCAATGAGTTGAGCTAATAATACACAAAATACATTTTACAGGTAGAATAAGAGGCAAAGGAATGAAAAAGAAGAAATGAAAAAAAGTTTTGTGAACACATCACTTACCTTTCTCTTGATATCAGAGCCGAGGCTAAACAGCAGTGACCAATAAAAACTCATCTCCAAAATGTAGTACCAGTACTGGGACGGCAGCAGAGGCTGAGGAGAAGGGGGACATTCAGTCCTCTAAATGCAACCTCACAAACACCATGTTTTCATTTTCTGAGACCCATTTATATTCCACAAAATGGCAGGAAGCTGAAATGACTTCAATTCCCCAGAGGAATCACTGATAAAATGTCAAGGTGTTTAATTCCTGAAAGACTAGAGAAGCATTCTAAACCAAATTAAGTGTTTTGACTAAAATGTTTTAAAAATGCTATCGACGTGACTGCCTAATTTTAGCTTAATGTGAGAAATATTAGATACACAATTGTTTAAGGACTCTAAAATTGTCTTCTGAATAAAAGTAACTAAATTTCTACTGCTAAAATTGTTCTTAGCACTGTTATAGTAGGGAATAACTTGAGACTCTGAGGCAAATTGAGACTTGAGGTGTGTTATTCAGTGTGATGTGCACCCATTGAATGCAGCCTTTTAACATCTGCGGCCTTACATGGTCTCCTCCCACAATGACTGGGGCTTTAATCCTGGTACTTGGCCAACGGGACAGTAGCCAATGTAACACAAACAAAGCCTTCATGAGCACTGTATAAGAAAGCTGAGCTATCATACCAAAGAGGCCACAAAAAGACCATTCAAGTGCCAGCTGATAAAATCATGAGTATGACCACCAACTGACTTGGAATGTATGAATGATCTCAGCTGAGACCACACGGAACAGATCTGCTTCCCTTAGCCTAGGCCCAGTTGCCAACCCAAATCATGAGTCACCAATGGCTGGCACTTTACAGCACTAGGCTTGAGGATAGTTGTTATGCATCAGAGATAACGGTGCTCTTGGGAAGAGCAGAAGGGCTAGCATTGATAGGACAAGGTTATGGCCTGTGTGATGAAGAAGACTTCTTTCTGAGGCTTTCCTGTCCCCTTTTCTGGTGTCTCATTTCATTATTTGTATTATCTGCTTTATGTGTATGGATGTTTTGTCTGCATGTATGTACAGACCACATGTGTATCTGGAAGAGGACACTGGATCCCCTGGAACCAGAGATGTGGATAGTTGAATGTGACCATGTGGGTAATAAGGCTTAAACCTTGTCTTCTTGCAAGAACGGCCAGTGCTCTGAACCACTGAGCACTCTTTCCAGCTCACTTTTTGATTCTTGTTTGTTCGTTTGTTTGTTTACGCTGAGGCTAACATGCTAAAAAAGACTAATTTTAACCTGTTACTTTGGAAATGGAGTCAGAGGATTACAAATTCAAGGACAACCTAGGTATGTGCTGAGTGTAAGGCCAGCCTGAGCTCCCTAATGAGAGTCGGACACAAAAACAAAACCAACCAACCAACCAATAGACAACAAACAAAGAAACAAAACAGCCCACACTGAGATCTGGGGCAGATTAATGTGGTGCCGAAGTCAGGGAGAGGCCATGCTAGGGAGTACATACCTGCTTGGGATAGTCACGCCAAACCTCCCAGAGGTCATACGCCCAAGGTTTCTAAAAAAAAGAGGATGCCAGAGAGGAGACACAGCTGTCAGTCAAACACTGGTTTCAACAGGAAATAGAGCTCTTTGTGGTGTTTTTTCCTGTCACGTGCACTCACTCATGTGTTTCATCTTGCACAGATTCACCTGGATTTACTGATGTAATTCACTTGTGTTTATTGTTGCACAGACTCTCTTGTGTTTCCTTTGCACACTCTCTTGTTTCCGGTTGCACAGACTCACTACTGTATATTATTACAAGACTCTCTTGTGTTTATTGTTGCACAGACCCACGTGTGTGTTTCCTGCTGCACATTCGAGGTGTTCCCTATTGTACTGACTCTTGTGCAGATCCTGTTTCTTCTGTTGCATCTCTCCCCCTGTGAGCATTGGTTCACTTTCCTACACAATACTGTGAATCTCACTACTTACAGTGAATCTGGGGTCAATAACAGGACTGCCTTGATGAAGGAACTCTTTTGAACAAACAAATATGACAGCAAAATAATTTCTGGATCAGTTACTATATCTGTAGCTTGAGTCAGACAGTAGCAAATGCCTATAATCTCAGCACTTGGGATGCTGAGAGGGGAAGATTACAAGTTTATAGCTGTCATGGCTATATAGTGAGTGATAGCCCAGCCTCAGATACATATTGAGAACCCGTCTCAAAAAAGAGACAAAAATAAGCAAGCATATAATAAACAAAAAAACAAACAAATAAATAAATGAAAAGGCAAGAATACCTTGAGCAGCTACAGCAATAAAGCATCAGGAGGCCTATTCTGGGCCCTGCTCATGCTCAGTAAGGGTCCTGCCACTGAGCCTGAGAAACATCTTGACTCTATAGAGACATTTCTTAAACTGCTGAACTCTGGAGTGTTAAGTCCTAAAGAACTGTGGATGAAGTTCAGGGGTGAAAGGCAATTTACTTTGAGCCATCTGTATGGCTGACCCACTGACTAGAACTTCAGTGATTGTTAAAAGTTGGAATGTTGTGGCTCAGAGCCTAATTTTGATTTATCTTGAGGCATAGTTGGCCCCATTAATGGTCATTTATTATCCACCTCTATTTGTGACCTACCATCTTTATGGCTATTAGGCAAATTATTTGGAATATACAAACAGACCACTAGCTTCTACCAACCAAAGGTTAAAAGCATTGCCTTATGGCACCCAGATATACAGCTGTGGATACCCCGCTTTGCTCTGACCTGTTTGTCTGGAGCTCCCATCAATGTATTTGAAAGGTGTTTTCATTATCATTTGCCTTGTTCTGTTACTATAAAACTTTAGGAAACCATCCACACTGGAACAGGGCATTTAGGGTCACCTGTATCTGTGTTCCCGGTCACGGTCACTTTTACTTGGCTCCAGAACAAACTCTCCCTCTCTCATCCTTTTTGAGGTTAGAGCTTTGCACTGATAGAATTCATAGGCAAAAATACTTTAAATGAAAGGTGAATTCCAAAGATATGAAAATAACAACTTACATCATAAAGAAATGCAACTCCAGCCACAGTTATCATTAAGTAAAATGTAAACCGCCAGCTGCCAAAAGAAAGAAAAGGCTTCACTCTTCTGCAACAGTGATTGACATGTGAGGGGAAGGGACTCTGGTACGACAGGCTTGGAAGAACATATATCCTAGAGTATAAGTTCACCCTGGCTGTCAGTTCATCCTAAGCCCATATGGAAGAACCCTAACAGTGGAAAGAACAATACTGTGCACATTATAATACCTGATCTCAAATTATTCTCCAGGGCCACAGCTGTAAAAGCACCGTGAGACTCTCTCAAGACCAGACACATGAGAGTGTCACACATAAAGACAACTACTCTTTGGCAAAGATGTCAAAACTACACATTGGAAAAAAGACAGCCCCATAGTAAATGATACTGAGGAAACAGGATAGCCACATTTAGGGATTAATATGATTTATATTTCTCACCCTATACAAAAGTCAACATAAAATTATCAACCATATTAATGTGAAACCCAAAACTTTAAGACTCTTAGAGGTAAAAGTATGTAAAAAAAAAAACTTCAAGATATAAACATAGGCAAGGACTTTCTTGAATGGACTTGATAGCTCAGGCCACTAATAGAAATGAGAACTTATCAATTTCATTTATCATTTATCAATGAGACAATGTGAAATTAAAGAGTTTCTGTACAGAGAGAAACAATTAACACAGGGGAGAGACAGCTGAGCGAATGCCAACTACACCAGACAGACGACATAAATAATTATAAAATAAACATAATAAAAGAAAGAAAGATAGAACAAAAGGAAAGGAAAGGAATCCCCCCCACGAATCATTTCTCAAATCTAGAAAGCTATTGGTCCTCCTCTGACTCATGGGAGGGAATTTGCTCCCGGCTCTATAAATCTAATCAAAGGCCTGTGGCTGGAGGAGGGGCATAGGCCCTAGAGAGAAATCTACTACTGTCGCTTTACTGAATGGACAGGTTATAAAATGCCCTCCAAATATTTATGTTTACATCCATAGTTTAGTGCTGTTCTCAGGATTGGCAAGAAAACTTTCTTTTTGCAGTGGCCAGCAGTTCATACCAGCCACTAAGTGATTGCTGCGTGTTCTCAGCCCTAACTGGGACATCTCGATCAATCCCTGCCACAAGGCTCAGTGGACACTGCTGCAGAGGAGGCTGAACGATGGTAAGACCAGAGGTCAGGAAGGAGTGCTGGGAAATACTGTCTTCTTGCTTAGACATTAGCTCATAGCAGCACAGCGACAATGTGCAAGATCCAGCTGGCCAACATTACCACATGGATGGAAGAGAGTCTCATGAGCCCCACCCCCAGCAGAAGAACCTGTTTACAGATGACAGCTTCTGGAGAAGCATCACTTATCTTCAGAGGTATGGCCACTGGTAGGTTACCCAAGCTCGGGTGCACCCACACACCTGTGGGCAGTGCTCATTGCACTCAGAGGCTCGGTGCAATAAAGACGGGGACATAAATGTGGGAAGATGGGAGGGAGATGTGTTGGGAGAGGTTGGACATGAAGGTGGGAAGATGGGAGGGAGATGTGTTGGGAGAGGTTGGACATGAAGGTGGGAAGATGGGAGGGAGATGTGTTGGGAGAGGTTGGGAGAGGGGAGGAAGAATTGATGGTATGAACAAATACTTTATATATGTGTATGAAATTCTGAGTGATGTGCACTAGGATGGATTCTCGCACCCCTGCTCCTACATATTAAGAGAGCACACATGGGAGAAAGTCTTGAGACTTTCTAACCTCAGTCCTAGAAAGGAGAAACAGCAGTTAAGTCATGTTCAAGGCTCAGGCCAAGTAAATAATGTCTGTATAGGCACTGGGTCCACCTTAGAGTATGGGGGTCTCGTCCGCCCAGAAGAGGAGAGGGGAAACAAGGACAGTTAAGAGAACATCTTTCTCTACATTTAAAAAGAACTTTCTAAATAACAAATGTTTTTTTTAATGTTATTTAACAGTGTACACTGTTTACAATGGATTTCAAACCTTGGGGTTTCTCAGCAGCCATTCACTGTACATTTTGCACTAACTTTGGGTGTTGCACTTCTTGTAAGATTGCACGTGTTTCAGTTATTTAATGAAACCATTCAAATAAACCAAACTTGCTTTTGTTGGAAAGTAAAGAATGCAATTGGACCCTTCCTTCCTTCCAATGCCAGTGTGCTCTCGGCCATGATCACAACACCCTTGGTTATGATGGCATCACACAAGCTGCCCATCCTCCTTACCAAGATTCCCGGAATTTCTTCATCCTGCAAGGCCTTTCTTGATTCCGTCGACTCCTAAACCATCTCTCAACCTGGCGCTCTGTCAAGTTACACTTTTTTGCCAGTCCATAAACATCATTCTGAAAAAAAGATGAAAAGAATAAACAAACGATAGACAGTAGAGGGCCAGCAAGGCATCAGTGGGACGGGCAGGACACGGAGGAAGAAAAAAAGCCTCCACAGGCACACTCCTCCTGGTACATGAGTGCACGCACTAGTGTGCATGAACACACACACACACACACACACACACACACAACCGTAAGAACTAAGGCAAAGAACCGTCAGATGTCAAGCAGTTGAGGGACAGTGAGACTAAGTGGCAAAAGCTTGTAGACTAGAGCAGACAGGCACAAGATCATGAGCCACGAAATTTATTTCTATTGCTTATGAAACCACATTCACGTACACAGATCCCCAAGCCAAGCCAAGCAGACAGAAAACAGAAAATATGAGGATTCTAGCTTGTTGAGTACTAAGACCAACCAGCTATATGTTAGTAACAATCCATATGTTTGACCTGTATATATGAGCTTGCTAAGATTTATTTAGGGCCTCCTAGGTACCAGGTAGAGTAGCAGAGTTAATCATATTTGATGATTTGATTTGATTAACATCAAATATGATTACCTACAGAGACACAGAAGCTTGCCTGAGAGTTTCTAGGACTTGTGTAAGATGTAAAAATAGTAGCCACGTGCAACAAGACCTGGGCTGGTGGGCTTCCTGCTGTTTCACTCCGTGCTTTTGGTAGTCACAAAAGATGAGCCAAGAAAACCCAGCAGGTGTTGGTTATCTGCTTTCACAATCAACCTGATACACAGCCTATTTCAGAATAATCCAAACTATTTCCAGCCATTTAAAATAATGATTATAAAGTATAATAATGATGATTGCTTCTCCTCTGGGAAGCAGAAGTCTTACAGGCTATGTCTTAAAATAGGAAAAGCAAAGATGATAAATTACTGCCCAAAGGTGACAAATTCCAGGGTCTGCTAGAGCCGGAAAGGAAACAGGAATGGCCAAGAGGGCCCGGTCCATTTTGCAGTGCGATTTTAACAGGTATGTTCTGTCCATTAGACCCACGGTAACTAATGCTCTCTGCTTTCCCAAGGAACATGCTCTATACCAAGTTTTTGAAATGGCCTTGATCTCTTGAGCATTCATTTTCTAATATAAGAAAATTTCCTCTTAATTCTGTTATAAAAACAAAATAAAAAATCAAATTGCCTGAAGCTGTCAGCTTCCAGCCCGAGACACAGCTGCAGCTGATGGACAGGAAAGAACATGGCCCAGCAGATCCTACCCCAAAGGACCCGCTAAGACCAAGCTGTATTTCCAGAGAGGAAACACAGTCCTAGAATTTTGATGTGAAACTACTTTTTATATTATTAATCAGAGCTTTACAGTAAATTTAAGCTAACTGCACATGAACACTCTGGGGACCAAACAAAGCCTGCCTGTGGTCCAGACAGCTGCTCACCCAGCAGGTCAGGACCAGCCAGATGGCCTCTGCTATATCATCTTATAAGGACCACAAAGTCATCTAGAGACCAGGACTACAGCGCACAGTCGCCAGAAGCCACACGCTGAACACCGGCAGAAGAGTGAACAGTTGTGTATCTCTACTGAATGGCAGGCCCTTCACTAACCTGAAGAAAAGGAAAGAGACAACAGTGAACAGAACACACCAGAATTGCTGTTTTCCCACAAAGTAGCCCCTTTAACACCCTTTTATAGGTCAGGGATTCTGTTACTGTTGGTTGTTTTGTTTTGTTTCTTTGAGAAGACTGAACAGATAGCTGTTCACTGATCTCTACCTCTACTGGCATAATAAGGAGTGAGCAGGAGGGAGGCATCCCCTTTGTCCATGTGCCCATGCCGCCCTTCCAGGCTGGGCTTCTGCTTTCCACAGCAAAGGTTTCACACCTCAGGTCAGACAAGATGGCAGGACGACACTCCAACACAGGAGGCACCAGGTTCATACTCTCTGCAGAAAGGAAAAGGGTATTCCAGGGATCCAGGCAACGGAAGGTGGTGGCGAAGACAGGAAGCTGAAAACCAAAGACCTGACCCTGCTGCCCCTACTCAGGGAGCCTTGAGCACTGCGCTCTGCCCTGTGAAAAATGGCATTGTATAAAAGCATCTGCCACCTCCCTCACAGGAGAGGCTTGGGATCATGGGAGGAGCATGTGCTGTACAATAGCCCAGCACTGCCAACGCTGGAAACCTTTATACCCACAACAGAAAAATGACCGTGGGCTGAAAACCATGCCCTAAATAAAAAAAAATACATACTTCCTTACTTCTAAAATAACCTAAAAGCTTATTGATTCCCCAAAACAGGTTGTAATTCAAATGCTGGTGCTTCGTCCATCTTCTGTCACTGGCCTGTTCTGAGCAGCCGGCACACTATATTCCATGTTCTTCCGAGGGAAGCACACTGGGTCTCACTTTATCACTTAAATATTTTATTCAACCACTCACCCCAAAACATTCAAAGAACCACTCCTTGGTGGTAAACCAAGCACAATTTTAGGTGTTAGAGATTTAGCAGTGAGCAAAGCAATCAAGGCATTGTTTTCTTTCTAGAACTTTCCCAGGTCTTACACCAATCACACCAGCTTGATACATGCATCTAGGAGATAGCACCCATATGTGGCTGGAAAGTGGAGGCACCTAGCAGAAAGCCCACCTTGACAATATTGGCCCCCTATACTTAGATACTTTTTGAGAGAGGAGCCTTGCACACAAAAGCTTCCAGACATGTTCTATAAACACACAAAGCTAGCACCTAAAATGCAGATAAGAGTTCAAGTTGCTCTAGATGTCCTTCAATGGAAGAATGGATGAAGAAAGTGTGGAATATATACACATTAGAATACTACTCAGCGGTAAAAAACAATGACTTCTCGAATTTTGCATGCAAATGGATGGAAATAGAACACACTATCCTGAGTGAGGTAACCCAGATCCAAAAAGATGAACTTGGGATGTACTCACTCATAATTGGTTTCTAGAGATAAATAAAGGTCAGTGAGTCTATAATTTGATCTCCTAAAGAAGCTAAATAAGAAGGTGATCCCAAAGAAAAACATATAGCTATCCTCCTGATTATGGGAAGTAG